CCAAGTATTTTAATACAATTAATATTATTGTATCCAATTTTATTAGTACTGCAGTTCAGTGGTGTATATATGTTAGCCATGTAATTGCCTGATGATGGCTTTTAATAGCCGAAACACGTAGCGGAGCCAAACTAGGTACTGACATTGATATAGTTGTCATGACAGTTTTAATAAAGAAATTTATGTTATAACACAACAGGAAGTATGAAATGAAAATTAATAATACTGTTTCACCGAGTAGCAAGGCCAAACAAGACACATGGCAGGGGAAATCATGTGGCTGATGAGATGGGGGGAGAAGCTGTGATGGAATCCAAAAAGATCTGCCTTTCTGTTGTTTCCTTCTTAGTGTTATACATCATTAGTGTTGGTTAGGACTGCATGGCATCACATCATTCAAAACAAAGAAAAATGAACAAAAATGATAGCTGTGTGGCAGAATTAATAAAGGTATTTCCCAAAGTGGAAACTGTAGTCCCCCCAGTGGACATAAAGCTTTCTCCAAAACACAGTTAAGTTACTAATGGTCTAATTATAATACCAATAATTTAGTAAGAAAAGGCCTCATTACATTATGCAGTTTAGAAGAAAAAGGTTCATTAGGATTTTATTTGTTTCCAAATCATATTTTAAACCATTTTTGTAAGTTGGGAGGCCTCAAACATTTTTATTTGCATTGAGTGAGCCCCATACCAAATGTTTTTAAGCACTAACCTAGACAATCTATTAGCACTTATGACCCACTAAAATTAAAGACTTTCAGTTTCACATGTACAAGTCTTGGATAAACCAAAAGGATAAGACAGCAAGACTGTGTAAGGCCAAAGCAATATTACTATGAACATAAAAAATGCTCCCCTGCAGAAGAAAGCCACCACACATAGATTTCACAAACAATATTATTTGTTGAATCATGGACTGTAATATAAACTAAATAAATGTGCCATGCAGGACTCAAATCAATTTTTGCTATATGGTAGCCACATAAATATTTTGGTCTCCACAAAATGGCAAATCACTACTTTCTGAGGCCTTATTCTAGCTCTGCCTCCACTTAGCATGAAAAATTCACTGCTTCCTACTGCCATACAGTCTGTCCTAAACACTTGCATGTCAACCATAAAAATAAAGTAAAAGATGTCCCTGTGCTTAATTATCAAACCATGAAAACATATGACGAAGTACAGTATCACTCCACGTATTCTTAACCTCAACTTCACTCCCCAGTTGCTTTACTCCACAGAAAAAAAGACAAGCAGCAGACTCGACAAACTGGAGAAGATAATGACCTCTGAGTGAGACTGCCAGCACTCCAAATGCCAACTCCTGAATGCTGAGTGCGAAATTAGTCACCAGTCATCAATGTAACCAGGAAAACACATTTTCCTACCACTGGCACAACTGTTAATAAGTTACTTTGCACAATCAATGAGAAAGCAGATATTTCTTGGGAGAAAGATGTGACTAGGGATACAATTCAAGATATGGGGTTCATTGGAAACATTTAGTATGAGAAAAACAGAAGTGTACACACATTATATTACAGACTGTAGGTATCAGGATATGCATCTAATAAAAATGTAAAAGGTCACAGAAAATGAGAAGATTTTTTCTTCCTTAATAAAAAACATACTGACAGTAACTTAACTTTTCTTGGGATACAAAGGATACTGGATATTATGAGTGCAAGCAACAAACCAATTACCATCCACAAAGAATCAAAGGAATGATTTTTACAACAGGAAGAGCTAGTACAAAAAGCAGACAGTGCAAATGGAGATTATGAGCAAATGAATTATAATATTTTCTCCAAATTGCTTCATGTGCCACAGTAATATATTTTATTTATTTCTTCTTGACCTATTAAATCATGTTCTCAGTTGCTCAGATTATACATCAAATGAAAGGATGAATAACCATTACCAGCCATGGGGTGCACAACTGCATCATAGCATCTTCAGTGATAATACTGTTACATATGACTTAAAATTCGGCCCAGAGTACTACCAAATTTAAAATGCCCAACTCCCAGATGAGAAAGGCCAACAAAAAATGTACTGAAAACAATATTGCTAATTTAAGGTCCTATTGCAGCATGTTCTCTGAAAAGAGTAGAAAAAATCACAACAAATTCAATCAGGACAGTTGAGCTGGCACCTCCCAAACACAAAGCAGGAATGCTAACCACTCCATCGCACAAAAAAAAATACTGTGGTTCTAGCTCGCAAGCAAACTATACAGACTGAGTGACCACCACTTGTCAGCAAAGTTAGTGCCTCTTTCATCACAAAAACAGAAGTGCCAACAAACAGGCTATGAAAGATCAGCCAGGATTAAACTGGTTCCCTACTGATATATGCAAGATGAAATCTGTACTGTGCAGCAACAATGAACACCAGAAACTCAGACAGAAAGTGTAAGATCAACCTATTATTCAACACATATGAGCACACACTAAAAAAATTACTTCTATACATGTCTGATCTTAACCAAGTTAAGTTAGCTTGAGTAAAATTAAAAGATAAATATCAAAATAAGAGGTATATTTTAAGATAATAATACAGGAATATTTCAAGGAATCATTTGTAGATCAGCAAGGTTGTTGTAGCCACAAGGAAAAATGAAAACAAAAATAATTATTGCGAGAAGGATGGATGCATGCATGGAGAATGTAATGGAATGTCTCATAATCAATTTGGAAAGCAGCAAGGACAGCACAGAAGAAAGAGCTAATGATTAAATTTAATAATGCTTTACATTTCATTATAATTACAATAGTAGGAATCTTGAAGTGTGGAGCATTCAGTGAATATTTTTGAGGGCAGACTGTAATTGTGATTATTGTCTGAATTGTAAGGACACTACAGAGTAGCCTTCACTGCTCTGTTGGACAGTAAGAAGTACTGAAATAACATGGTAAATGCATACAGCACAGGACAAAACTTTATCCCTAGGGCTAGCAAAATGCAGTCACCTACAACCACAAGTGTAAATTCTCTTTACAGTGCCAGGACACTGGTACAAATATAAGGCAAGAAACAACATTAGCAATGGTGGGAAGTACCGAATAATTCCCAAACAATTTTAATTTTAAAAATTTAAGAGACAACCAAAAACACGCCTTTGATGCATACATAAATGTTTGTGAGTACTCTAAGAGTTGAAACTTACACTCACAGAAATCAGAATCTCACAGGCATTATTAAACATAAAGAAAGTACACCTTAAATTAATCTTTCAAATGAAAGTAAAGTATGTGCAGAAACCTCACAGAGGCCAAAGATCTACTTTTATTTTTAATAGTTCAAGGTCAGGGTAAACAAACACACTTCTAACCTTTACCCACATGCTGGGATTCAAATATAAGACTGGCAACAAAAATGAGTATCTACTGGATCTATAAGATGCAACACATTATTCTACAGTTGTAATTGTTTTGGAATCTGGTTCAATAAGCTAGCAAGAATTTAAAAAGCATTCTAAAATATACTTCTTTTGGACTCCATCCATCGTCTGGTATGTAAAAGACAAAAAACCCACGACGTTTCGGAGACTGGATCTGTCTCCGTCTTCAGGTGGGTAGGGAAGGATAAACCCACTGTTGGCCCAGATCCAGTCTCTGAAATGTGGTGTTTTTTTTTGTCTTTTACATACCAGACGATGAAGTCCAAAACAAGCCAAAAGAAGTACAGTATACACCATTGTCAGAATCCTTTCAAGTCTATCATTCTAAAATATGCTTACTCTTAATACAGTGAATTTCAGGATTCTGAAGGATTAATAATGCACAGACTAAAATTAGTACATATGATTTTCACTTCCATATTATTCATTCAATGAATTATATTAAATGTTTTGAAATATGAATTAAAGAAAATTCATAATGAAATAATTACTGTTCCCATATAACAGTCACTTGTCCAAGAGCATGTTACCTATTCACAATACAAGGTATCTACTCATGCTGTAAGCAGTGAATAAGTGTCAACTCATAATTCCGTAATGTTACAAGTACATACACAATTGAAGAACTGCAGTTTCTATACAGAACAAATAATGTCCACTGCTTAAAACAACTGTCTGCAAAGATATGATGTGGTTGTTAACTGGTGTTAAAACATGAATAAATACAGAAATTAAAGATAAAACTGAAAAATTATCTGAGTTGAGACACTGGAGTCTCACCTGTATCTCTGATACTTTCTTTCAGATGGTCCATGTCATCAATTATCACTCAAAACATCATTCGTTTTCCACAGTCCTACGGGTATATGTATTAGAATAAGGAACAGAGACTGAACATGTAGAATTTATCATCACAAAATGAAGATAACACAGCAATTCACCAACTTGATGAACTACTCCCCATTCCTATGCACAGATTATTCATGAAGGTCTAAATGAGAACTTCCATGGAAAGAGGGAAATTCAAAACTGCAGTCACCTCATTATTAATTTTCATCTATGGGGCCATGTAATGTAGTGTGGAACTGTAAAAATAGATGGCATGAACAATTTGATGCTAACATCAGAAATACTGCTGACTCTGGAACATTAGATGCTCTCACTTGGATAAGGAAAAAATCAGATTACTAATAAGACAAGAGAGAGCAATGCATGACTCTCACATTGAATAAACATTAACAACATACGTAAACTATCAGTCTAACAATTTTTGTTGTTCCCCTCATGTTTCTATCATAATTAATTATCACACCACTCACCTCAAAAATTGCACTGTAACTTTATGGACACATTGTACATTCATGTTTCATAAATTATACTTTTTGAGAAAGTTGTCTGTGTTTAACTAATTAAGCATTATGCCATGAAGGCATATGGTGGAGTTGATGTACAGACCCAAGTTTTCTTAACCTCGGCACTAGCTGGTGTCGTCAGCTTCACGCCCCAGGCGCTTTACCCCTTGGGAAAGAGCCCCCAGTACCCATTAAATAGGAGACTGAGTGGACCCCAGAAGTAGTCTAGATGAGATGGAGAAGTGAAAATTCTTAACTCTATTGGGACTCAAACTCTGACTCCTCGGTCGTCCAGCCCGTAGCCAGTCGCTATACCAACCATGCTATCCAGGCCCTTACTTTTTGAGAAGACGTTCTGAAATTACCCACTGTTTTAAGTGCTGATAAATTCAGACCTTCTATTAAAATCTGTTGCTTAAACATACACTTTTAAGCCTGAAGAGTTAGTTCATGCATTAAAATGTATATTTACATTCTGTAGGATATTGAAAATACAGAACAGAGAGAATCACGTGAAAATAAGACCAGCAATTTCACTAGAATATGATTAAACTACACGATGTGCAAACATCTTGCGTCTGGTATACAGACTCCTTCAGAATCCTCAAATATGAAAGACATTTATTACAATGCCCGTTACCTAAGCTGTCAGTCATTAAAACCAATGATAGTTTGTATTAGAACAAAATAATAATACATTTTAAAGCCACTTCCTTGTTGTGGTAATCTTAGTACAATAAACCATGAGTGCGCATTATAGATATACCAAGTTAAATATTAAGACCCATTCTGTCAAGAAGCATAAAAGAAATTATATCTGAATACAGAGACTCAGTTCCTTTCAGATGAATATAAGACCAAAAGCAAACACTCAAAAATTTATCTCTTGCCACAATGTCCAATAACCTCTCTGTCACTCATATTCATCAGTTGTGTAGAATCACAGTAGCTGATACAAGAACATTCTGATAGGTTAAAAACAGTTTAGATTATTTTAACAATTTCTTTGTTTATTCATTTTACACCTTTCTTGTCAGTGAGTCAGTGATAGATGTCTTTGTAAGACCTGCCATAATAATACCTGGGTGATACACAGAAGCTGGTTTTCTGTTCCATACAGTTCACTACAGAGCAGCTCATCCTATAGTTATGGCACTTTGTTTGAGCAGTCACTCAACCAGTCAACAGTCACCTTGCAGTATGCCATACATTAAAATAAACCTATTCTGTTGCAAGACTACTGCTGTGATAAAATCACAGTTCATATCCATTGATCACTTCTTGTGACCAGTCATCTGCTGTGAGCATTCTTTGTGTTTGTGTCTAACCACAGTGAGATGCAGTCCTGAACAATTCACGCTTCTTGCCAAGATTGAGAGAATAAATTAGCACACGGCACACAAAATTCAATGTAGGTCCCATGAACCGCTTTTGATGAATGAATAATAAATACAGGACTAAAAGTCATCATGTTCCCTAGATATGAGAGCATAAAATTTTTATTTGTGGAGATAATTGAATCAAAGAAAGTCTACGAAATTAACTACGCATTTTAAAGGTTTTGCAGATTCAAATCTGAATGTTATTCCAGAAATCATAGAAAATGGATTACAACATGTATCACAGAACTTGTTACATCACTGGAAATGGGCCTCAACATTGGACACACTGTCAACGGCTACTGTAATATATGGCAAGTTCTTTTGGAAACACTTTCTGAGCACGGACAGAAATCTTCAATCATATTGTGACACGTACGAGTATACCCATTCCTGGCAACGCTTGAAATACGTGCACACAACAAAACGGTACGGCAAGAAGTGTTTTCTATGTGGTCCAAGCTATGCCCATTGCTAGGAAACGGGGTTGCTAAACACATTCCGCAACAACAAATATTTCCATTGCTATGCAACACGCTGTAAATACAATAATAGAGGGAGAGGTGTTTTCTATGGGCCCATAAGTCATAGAATGAGGAGAATGAAGTGAGTCCTCAGCAAGCATGGAAGAAGGGTTCGGCTGAAGACTTGTTGAGAGTCATTGTAATTGTGGAGATTTCAATAGACTGTAATAGAAGGCATTAATAAATTTGATCAACCAATCCAAAACCTGTTATTATTAGTCAAGAAGCCATAAACACAAGACAATATTATGCAGTACTGTGTACATATGCAAATGACAACCCCCCATCCAGAACCTCACTGTATGAAGAGGCAGTAATAAGGCCGAGAAAGGAAGGAACGAAGTGCTCTGTAAATGTTCTGCAATGGCAATATATGTAAAATATTTTTTTTAAATACTTTCTTGGGCACAGAGGTCTCTTTTGTAAACATTAATTCAACCTGTATGAAATGGCCTGATGATTCCTGTGTAGTTTGTTGCACTTGACTCATCAATAACAAAACTTTTACATTATTAATTATACTTTTCATTCAGCAGAATGTACAGAGATGTTTAAACTTTCTTAGTAGCCTATTTTCTAACCACACTTCTGCATGTTTCTCAAAAGGGGCTACCTACAACTGGGAAAAGCAACACTTATTACATTTCATCAGATTCTGTACCGAGGTTGTGTGCCGAAGGCTGAAATCCAATTACATGTCACAAATGGCTGGAATTCAAGTGTTTTTTCACATTTTCTACCTCCATATCAATACATCACATTTTACAAACTTTCTCATACCAACACGTTTAACTTTGTTTTGGTCACCACAGGGTTGACTTCAATATTTACTGAAGTCAATTTAGTAACATTATTACAGATAAACAAATGAAACAATCACAGTATACATATATTTGATCTTGGAAAATATGAACTTATAAAAAAATACTAATCTCTCTCTGCAAATTTTAGGCTTTTAAATTGTCCCATATACCAAAATTCCATAAATTTTTATAATTCTGATCCAGAAGATCACTAGTAGACCCAGTTGACTGGAACCCACTGATGCTCAGTGCTAAGAGCTTCTAAAGCTTCAGCCACTTTGCGGAATGTAACGTCAAAATCCTCGTTTACCACTACAAGATCAATGTACTTTTCGTAAGTTCGTTGTAAGCATGAACTTTCTTCCAGAGTCTGGCGAAGGTCTTCCTCCTGAAAACATGTTACACATAAGCTTAGCCTGCCCTCTCTTTTCTTACAAAGCAGTATTTTACCAAAAGGGAATAGGTAGAATGACTTAATTACTTTTATTAGCCCTGAAGTCTCTGGTAATAATAACATGACTTTTACTCTCATCACTGCCTACATGCAACTAATTCATGGAGCTGGGCCCTTCTCGAGAAGCCGCCAATCATGCAGGTATTAAAGTACTTCCCAGCATTTTATGGAACTTGAAGGTTCATTAATGTTTTCACAAGAGCCCTCCTCTGGTCTCTATCATGAGCCTGATCAATCCTTTCCATACCACCCCATCCTATATCTCTAAGATCCATTTTAATATTATACACCCACCTACATCTTAGTCTTCCTAGTGGTCTCTTTCCTCCTGGATTTCCCACCAGCATCCTTTATCCATACTTCTCCTCCGATTCGTTCTACATGGCCTACCCATCTCACTCTATTTGACTTTATCATTCTAATTATACTTGGCAAAATGTACAAGTTATGAAGCTCCTCATTACGCAGTTTTTCCAACCTCCCATTGCTTCAGCTTGCTTCGGTCCAAATATTTTCCTCAGCACCATTCTCAAACACCCTCAGTCTATGTTGCTTCCTTAATGTCAGAGACTAAGTTTCACATCTATACAAACACACAGGCAAAATTATAGTTTTGTGCATTGTAATTTTTATGTTTCTAGACAGCATACATGAAGACAAACGGTTTTGTACTGAATGGTAGAAACCATTATCCAAATTAATCTCCTCTTACTTTCCTCCTGAATCAAATTCTGTCCTGCATTCCGGTGACAACACAGCAACATACGCTTAGTTTTCTTTGTGTTTACTTCTAGACCAAAATCCTTACTAGCTTCAATTAAAGTTTGTGTTTCTCTTTATGGTGTCTTTCTTATCACCCAGTAGATTCACTTCATCAGCACAGACCAGCAGCTGATGTGTCCCATTTAATTTCAGCCCCACCTGGTGTTCCTGGACCTTCCTAATGGCATATTCTAAAGCAAAGTTGAAAAGCGGTGGCAATTAAGCATCTCCTTAATTTCAGCCCCACCCGGTGTTCCTGGACCTTCCTAATGGCATATTCTAAAGCAAAGTTGAAAAGCGGTGGCAATTAAGCATCTCCTTGCTTTAGACCATTCTGGATAGGAAAATTATCAGACAAATGCTTACCTATATGGACTTTACGGTATGTTTTGTTAACCCACATTTTAATCAGCTTAACTAGTTTCATGGGTACCCCATACTCTTTCAGAATATTGTACAAAATTTCCTTCCTAACTGAATCATAGGCTTTCTTGAAGTCTACGAATAGCTCATGTACTGTCTATCCCCATGTATTTGCTTGGATCCCGTAACCACCGCAATTTTGCTTGTTTCCTTTGATCTAATAATTCTAAGGATCGTTCATCATATCATGGCTTATGCTTCTTCAATTCATATAAATTGATAATATAACAATAATAACCTAGACCAGTGCTGTCCAACGTTCCTATGTACTCGGGCACAATTCACTGATGCCTACGGAGGTGTGGGCGCCACCACACACTAGTACTACTACTAGTACTTCTATTACTTTTACTACTACTACTACTACTACTACTAATAATAATAATAATAATAATAAAATTTTGCGAAAATATTTAACAGTACTCAGACGTTCAAAAATGTCTCGTCTTACAATCTGAATTAACATTAAAAATCGGCGCCAGAAAAATATATCTCATGCACCATGGTGCCCATGGGCGCCGTGTTGGACAGGGCTGACCTAGAGTCTCTCAGGCAGAAATTTTTATATTTTTTCTAACATTTTCCCAGGTGATATTAACATCCACCTCATTATCTACGTTTTTCAACATTTTCAACACAATACTGCTCTTTACCCTCTACCGACTTCAATTTCTTGAGATTTAACTTCCAAGCTTCACCCCTGTGCCCTACCCAATTTATGAGGAGGATATAAGAGACTATTTTTGCAACACTCACCCTTACTTACTTTGATATGAGTTGTTTATGCTACTATGGTCTCTCACTTCCACTGTCCCCTCCCAGTGGACTGACTGATCAGACATGATGCTAAAAATAGGCTATGGCTCATCTGCTTGTATGGATTCTTGTGCCAGGAATATGACACAGGTGAGTGGAAGCCAAGATACAGATCATAATGACAATGTTTGATTAAATACAACAAATAAAGTCAAGAGGGACAGACCAAAGGCACCAGCTGCTATTCATGGTCCTCCAGGCCTTGAGCATCATCCATTAGAGAAAGCGAACATGATAGCTGACTTTTTGAAAAATCAGTTAAAACCCCATGACCTGTGTGGTGACAACCATGAATGGCAGGATAGAGCTCATGCTCTACTCGAAACTGTAGATAATAACCTACCTGAAGGAATGAGACCAGATGATATATAGAAATTAACAAATTCCCTGAAATTGAGGTATGTGGGATGGATGGGCATTCATCAGACACCTTCCAAGGAGACCATTTGTGCACGTAACACATATGATGGGTCACTGCATTCATCTTTCATAATTTTCGAGACTGAAGTCAAGTAATGTTTGCTACCATTCAGTCCAGAACCTTTTGTCTTATTGTCTGCTGTCTAAAAATGTAAAAACTAGAATATACAAAGCTAAAAACAAAATGAAACCATTTAAATACTTCTATTTTAATAGAGTGCAGACACAAACAAATGAGTATTCCACAATAACTGAAGACAAATTTACACTTTTCTGCTTCTTGTCTGCTTAATACTTGCTACTTTGGAGACCAAAACTCTGCAATTCTCTGTTCACATCTATTCTTTGCTAACACCACAAATACTAGGTGACAATAAAGCAAACAGAGACATATAACAATGAAGAGTGAAGCAGTACTTACTTCATACAATGAAGCAAGAGATTCCAGTGTTCGTGCCCGTCGTGAACTGTATCTTATAGAACTGGCTCGATCAAACTATACATGCAACATAAATATACAACAATTAACACTAACCTACGTATTATCTTATCCAGAAAAAACATACAAAAAGAAACCCACCTCAAAAAGAAACAAAAACTTCGTTGAATATCATATTTTCGTAAAACCAAACATATTTTCCACATCTTGATGCAGTTTGCTTTTAGCGCTGATGAAACGCTACCCATAACTGGATCAAATACTGTACACTTTTGACAGGCTGTCTGCTGAAGAGGTGGAAAAAAAATTATGGCTGAATCACTGAAGCAGAGGTGCAACATCAGTCAACACATTCAGTGCAGTGAACTACATTAAAAAATAGATGGCCACCACTGATGTCCATGTTATAAGTTGAGATGTCAGACTGTGGTTTTCTGGACTGTGAAGTCTTAAACTTTTCCATTGGTCTGAGTGACCACTTTCTGTGCAACCTGCCTACACAACTGAACTAATCACATATAGTTCAACCCTGAGGATGGTGGCAGCATGTTCCTCCTAACTATTGGCAGTTACATATAAGACTACACAAGCATCACAACCCCAAAGACCACAATGATGTCATAAAATAGCATCCACAGGTGCTCACTGATTTTCTTTTTACTGACAGAGGGAATTCACTTTTTCACTTTTATTGGAATGATGGGTGAAAGATATTAAATGCAGAAGAAAATATTGGTATGAAAATTGTTCTCTTACCCTTACATGGATTAAGGGGGGGGGGGTTATAATCTGTATTTTATACCAAACACTATGACAATGATTAAATCAAGGCCATTTCACATGGATGACAAATATACCCAAGATTTTAGTGGGAATGCCTGAAGGGAAGAGATCACTTGGAGAGCTGGGCACAGATGTGGAGTTTTCTTTTTACATTAAAATAAATCTCAGAGAAATAATGTGTGATGGTGCAAACTAGATACCTCTGGCTCAGGATATGGCCCGTGAGCAGAGTAAATGAAATAATTTATTTTCAACAGTTTTCTCTAAGACTCAATTACTGGAAATATTTTTAATGAAACAGTGGAAGAACAAATATAACAAATATAAAAACGATATATAAAATTAACTTTCCAGTGGGAGCTGGGGCATGCTGTACTGAAATACTGATAAATTATTTACATGTAAAATGTTTGGTTTAAACTGATTAACTACACATGTAAAAGGATTAGCCCCTGTGATTGTAGTGTGGGCAATGTAGTCACAGCAGTGAATGTGTCACTTCAAGACATACAGGCAACAGTCTGACTACTGCAAGACAAAGACAAGCAAGTAACTTACATCAATGGATGATGGTTTACATTAAGTATAAAAGGTTCACAGATCAACATAACAAATATTTAGTTTCCAAACATTGCACAGTTGCTGTACCTGCATGAAATTATGCACATGTGGTCCCAAGTTGGACCAAGCATTCTAACTTAGTGATCAATAATTTCCAGAGAACATCTTAATCATTAAAGAATTCTTGGGGGCTGTTTTAGATATTTTATGCTTATGATCTTCATGCATTTAAGAGAGTTCAAAGCCAAAAATTTTTATAAATATACCCACTTACTGTGGCATAACACAATACAGATATTCCATGGTTTGTAAAAAATATTTTTTAAGAAACTTGACTCAAAACCCTTCTTTCAATCAGACGCAAGATGTCTTCATTGAAGTTAATTGTTAAAAATATACAGGATTTGACTGAAAGTTGCGGACAAATGTTGGGTACGGTTTCCACATACCATGCCAAGAGAAAATGTCCATATTAACATGTGTCCTGAAACATTTAATTTGTGAGTTATAGCTGAAAGAGTATATTTATAACAAGCACTCAGAATGTTCATCATGAGATTCAATGACACGTCTCATCATGGACCGCTGTATATGTTCAAAGATGCTGGGGTAGCTGCACACAGTTTGACAGGCATACACAGCATGATGTCAAAGTGCCTCTTCATTGTCAACAGGACCTCCATACACAAGGGATTTTGGGTGCCCCAAAGGTAAAAATCCAAAGGATTCAAATCTGGCAGGCATAAAGGCCATGCAGCAGGTCCTCCTCTACATATCCATTGGTCATGATAAGTGTTACTGAGAACATCCCACACTGCATGGCTAAAATGTGCAGTAACGCTATCAAGCATGTACCACATCTTGCTCTGCCAGTGGTTATGTCTTCCAGTAGCTTTGACAGATCATGCAAGAGGAAGTCTCAGTGGTAGATACATGCAAGCCAATATGGCAAAACATGCAAGTTACCAAATAATCACCAACAATCCCTGCCCACACATTAATGCTGAACAAATGAATAGGTGATGAAAACATTCTTTCAGCTGTAACACAAATTAAATGTTTCTGGCCACATGTTAATGTAGAACTTGTGTCCAAACTTTGTCTGCAACTTTCAGTTATACTGTATATTCAAGTGAGGAATGTACAAAAAAAAAAAGGCCATCAGTAAAGTTTGCTGGACAGATCCTACCAGATTTAAGATGATGAGAATCAAGAATATGCTCTTGACAGACAGGAAGATGGTAGCATTCCACATTTCATACAGGACAGCTTAAAAGCTTAACTTAACAAACACAAACCACAAGTTTTGTTATCATGTGGCACACCAATTCTGAAACCACAGAACAAAGAAACAACATCTTGCACCATAATCCAATTAGGCACTTACAGTGAGATTCCTGTTAGATGATCCAATGGAATGGCTAATACCATACAGATGCTTCAACTGTTCCATCCCAGGAGCAGCTATGAATATTACATATGGCATGAACTCAGAAGAGTTGTGAAGTATCTTCAAGGCCTTAGAAGAAATATTACAGTAAATTCCATTAGCTGAAACATCTATACAAAAAATACACTAATCCATGTTTCTTTTTGCTTTAATGATTGGGAAGTTTGATGAGTGTTCCATGTGATGATTTTGAAAATGGTCCATCATGGACAGCAACACTGTGCGCTTGGCCTGACCATAAAGAGATATTCAATGAAAAACCTGAGTAGGTCCAGTATAGGATTAAGTTAGAGCTGATCAACTTTTCGAACAGGTGGATCACACTGAATGATACAGTACACTATGTGGGCCCAAGCATTCAAATATCTCTACTGAACATTATAATAAAAACAGCCTTAATTTACCTTATCAACATGGAACCTGAGCTTGCCCTTGCTCCATATGAGAATTAACATTCAGTTCCAGTCCTGAAATTCCACTTCCCATCACACCACGTAAGCACATACTGGTGATTCTCGAATGGAATTTCGTTTCCTTTCATATATGAAGGAACCTGTTCACATGCATACATGCTACCAAGTACATCTGCAAACTTTGTGCTAACTTACGTAACACCAGAACCAAAAAACCTGAATAACGAACCCACAGGTTTCATACAGGGGAAGGAATTTTTTGACCAAACCTGTCAGGAAATGTGCTTCATCACATCGGCAGCCATACTAAATCCCATATTCACTGAGTATGACACAAGCAGTAATGTCACTATACTAACAGCAGCCCTAGTGTATGTAATTCAATGATGGTATACTCACAGCAGGGCTACAATCCAGGACACACATTTTTCCTTGACGAATGACATCACGAACTGAGTCTAGGGTTGAGCCATACAAGTGTCCATTATGCTCTCCATATTCTAGAAATTTATGTTCCCGAATCTCCATCTCCATTGTTTCACGATCAATGAACCAATATCCACGACCATTTTCTTCAAGTACCCGTGGAGGTCGAGAAGTATCTATAGGATATTTAAAAAAAAAATAAAAATAACTTAGATGTTTATGCAGTAGTTCGTTAGTTACTGGAGAGGGTGGGTTTCCCCATGCACTTAGACCTGTATTGGTCCATTGTGCTTCCCTCTATGATTTCTACCAGTCTCTATATCCTACCAGTACTGGTGCTTACCATCAGTCCCACCCAGCCAGCGAGACCGGCTCTACTAGCTGAGAGGTGTGTATAATGCTTCCCCCATCTACCGGAGGTATTAGAGACTGCTGCTGGGCGGGAAACGTCCGTTAATTTGGCTCAGTGACCTCCTTTGGAGATATGAGGTTCTTTTACGTGCCGTAAAGCTACGACACGGGATCCACGGCTTAAAGTCCCTCCCGGAGGACTTGTTCCCTGAATTTTTTCGCCCTTAAAAATTTGACGACCTCCGCCGGGTATTTGAACCCGCGTACTACAAGTCATGAGGTGGGAACGTTACCTCTAGACTACGGAGGCCGCTTGTCTATGCAGTAACCGACTTCACTCAATATTTCATTATGTCACTAATGGAAAATACTGTGCTTTAAACATGTAACTCAGTTTTCACTTGATCTTTTTAAATGTAAATTATGTGATGCACTTATCTCATTTTGACCATTTTGACTTAACCCTGCAGAGCAGCCATTTCCCACAACGTTACAGTTACAGTGGAATCCTGATTTAAGGTCTCTTGATCTAAAAGATTCTCTTATTTTGTTATTTTCTTGTGGTTCAGCCAAACCCCCATACAAATTAAATTAGTATCACTCATTTTAGTGTTTTACTAATTTAGTGAATGAAAATCAAATCCCTACTTGAATTCTCTACCAAAGTTAAGTACCATATCCAAATGCAAGACTAGGCTTTTCCCCCATTTTTGAAGATAAATAATGAAGACCAGTATTCAATTTCAGTGTGAAAAATATATTGATAGATGAAGAAAGCAGTCTTCTGGGATGTGGCACCGTGTAGATGTGGTGTTAACCGACGTTTCGGAGGAACGTATCACCTCCCTCTTCAGACAAGCAGACTGCTTGTACCAGTTCTCACGGTCTCTTCGCTTGCCGATTTTTTATTTTTACTTCTACCCTGAAGATGGAGGCAATATGTTCCTCCGTTACGTCGGTTAACATCACATCTACACAGTGCCACATTCCAGAAGACTGCTTTCTTCATAGTCACCGTCGTGAAAACCTCAAATCTTATATATTGATAGACTGTTGACACTCTAGGATTTTAGCGGGGTGATGTTCCTTAGGCGCAGCAAATGCTAACATTCACGCCATATTATGCCATCAGCATTGCAACTGCTTAAGGAAGGGAGACAGAAATATGTTTCAAGCTTAGGAGTCAAACACTACAATATATTTATCCAGTTAACCACAGCAGTTGTGAATGGCCATCTGTAATATCCCACAAACAGATATTACAGCCAAGTGATGAAGTTGCAAACAGCAAAGACAGAAAATGTATAACACATTTCCATGAATACATGCTTGATTTTAAGTGCATGAAATTAATAAAAAAAAAATCAAATTTTATGTGCAGATATGTTTCAAAGAGGGAAGATGTTTTAGATTCAGAGCTGTCTCCCAGTCATATACACAGTATTTATGTACCACTGCTGTTTATTGAAGGAGACCTTGAAGTCTCTGAAGATTTAACATCCATTATTTATCGTCCATCAATATTGCAACACTCTTCCATTCACTACTCAATTTTAGTTTAACGTTATACACCTTGACACTACATGTTTCGGCTCCAAAAATGTACTGTCAAGGTGTAAACTAAAATTGAGTGGTGAATGGAAGAGTGTTGCAATACTGACGGATAATAAATAACGGACGTTAAGTTGAACAATTGCAACAGAATGCTGTAATACAGTCTCTCTGAAGATTTCAGAAAAGTTAGCATTATGGACACCATACCAGGGATATCACAGCAACAGGTAATGACAGAACACAGATACAAGACAAGCATTTATGAAAGACCAGAGAAGAATAGCATGAGCTTTGATATAAGATAACAAACTCTGGGCAAAACATTGACCTTATTGAATGGAATTAAATCTTCTGCACGACAGAGCTGGCAGCAATGCAGTATATACTGCAGTGTGATGCTAAGCCTGCTGAACCACCACATGCACCAGCACAGCTATGTGATGCACAGACAATACAGGTTAAATTCTACAATGCAGCATTTCCTAATGCTAGTCTTTTTTCATAGTTTACAACTTACAGGGTACAATCCCACCAAATTTGTCAGGATCACTGTTAATCAGTCTGTTCTTTAAAGTTCTACGTCCAACACCCTGTGATCCAATGAGAGCCAGCGTCCTTCTCTTGAAAGGAGGCATGCGGGTCACTTCTTCATACAACAGCAGTTCTGCTTTGTCAAACTCACTATTCGATTTTGATTGATACATGGTTTTCCTCTTCTTTTTTGATATCTGAAGAGAGAAAAAGATTGTAATATCTAAACTATTCTACCAAGTTTCTGAGTATCCAAAAGCTTTGTATTTTTTAAAAATAATCTGTGTGTTCTGTAGTGCATGAAGTGAGTAAAATTAATGAACAGTGGAATGCAATATATGCATCTATCTACATGTTTTATCATTAACACTACTAAGCTGATTATAATGACATCTGGTATTGGAAACTTGTTTGGCAAATCTGATTTTGAGTCATACTGGTCCATTCTAACCATGCAACAAAGTGAAACTCAAAACTGACATAAATCAGGTAGTCATGTGATTTAACATGCACTAACACAATTGTGTTTATCAGTAACACAAAAATTTTGCAATTATGCAATACTCAGAACTCATAAATTAATATCTGTTTATTTTCTGTTCAAATACCTCCAGTTTCTCTTGGAATTTCACACTCTAAGAGAGACTGAAAACTATGGCAATAACTCTAATCTTTTGCTTCTGATGTGTGAAGGGGTAATATGACAGACAAAACTAAGCACATGTTTCATTTGATCAGATTAAGTTCAATCGTTTTGAGTACACCAATTTAAATTAAAATGCTGTACAATATTTATCTCCTGTTGCAACGAAATTTTGTTACTCTTTTTCTTTCATTATAAATCTTCCCAATTCCTGTGTCAAAGGCCAGATCGTGTCTTGATTAATAATGAGACAAATTGTAACATACTCTTGCTCCACATATGCTGATCTTGTGGACATAGTCTGCCTCAGGTTTCACAAATGCTTTACGCCTCTCTTCCAGTTCTTGGGATGGAATCAGGCCAGCTGGACCATTTGAACCAACCTTCTTTGCTTGCCACCAGTTTGGATCCTTCTGATTAACAATCTGTAACAATTATTTTGTTATGTTAAAGACCATGTGGCTACATTGGGACAAAAAGGAATGCATATAGAAAAGGTATCTGGAAGATTTAAACAGTGATTGGAGGATATTAAGGTAAGCTTACAAAGACAGACTGTTGGGATCAGTACTGAATGCAACTAACTCCAAAGTGTTCCAAATGGCAGACTTGGTATTAGTGGTGCTGGATCTCTGGGTTCTGCAATCACATTGCTAGTTAATGGCCTACTTAAGCAACTAATTTCAAATCAGCATTGAAGTGTGTATGATGAGATAAAGTTTAAAATTGTTTCTGAATAGAATATTCCTGATTTGTCCTGGAAATTCTATAATCTTCTTTTAATAAACACAAAAGCTCTAAACCCAACATTATAATTTCAAATTAATCAAACAATACTACTACAAGACTTAAGCTTCAATATGTTGATTTATTTCGTACCACTACTGAATCAAAACACCTTGTTCAATCCTTACAAATCAAGAAAAACTTGTATCCACCAAGGGTATTCCACAGGTGAAATATGGATGTCTTGGATGGCAGTTTTTCATATTCAGAAAGACAACACAGTGTACAATTTGACATTAGTTCTGGCAACCCCAAGGGGCACACAGTAGAGCAGTTGGTTGAGGCACTATGCTACAAGCCGGAAGGTCGATGATTTATGTGAAATTTTCTCAATTTACCTAATCCTTCCAGCCACACTATGGCCTGGGTTCGACTCCACCTCTCACAGAAATGAGTACCAGGAATCTTCCTGGGGGGTAAAGGGTGGCCAGCACGTAAGGGTGACAACCTTAATGCCAACTGTAAGCCAACTGTCTAGAGAAAATGTGGGAGCCTTGATGTCTCACAACCTTATGGGCCATCATGGTCTGTTACAGAGATAGCTTTACCTTTACCTTTCTACTGGTAACCCCCTATGCAGGACGTAATATTGTAATTTGGGTCTGCTAGTAAAGAGTTTAATTACAGTTTATGTGGCTGTGTTTTAAGAAACAATGAAAACAGCATCAAAATAACACACACACAACATACATACATCAGAATCCTGATAGCACTAAGAAAGCTGAAGTTCATGGTGCATACCTTTCAGTTTACAACAAATACTACCAACTCTTAACATCAATGTAACTGCTGCATTTAATGCTGATGGGCAGGTTTCTGAAGATATACACTAAATATTTACAATGGAAAAATTCCATCCTGCATTAATAAACTTATTGTATGTCTGATTTATGTGGCAGACAAAATAAAAATGATTTGTTACTGTGTTATCTGGAGTAAGGTGAACAGTATTTTGAACAAATGGTACATGAATTTCAAATACAGGTCGCTGGTTCTTGAATTCAGAGATTCTACAGTCATATAAAAGAAAAACAGAGACATGCCAGTCATGTATGTTCTAGGTGGTACAAACTAGTTGAAAGAGCAGGGGCAAAGAAACCATTCCATGTTACTTGAATAACCTACGATACTTTGATAGACTTCAATTATTTCATACAATACATATTTCCGTCATTAATGCAACAAAAGGTTATAGTTACTTTAATTGTTTATTCATGACATATTTTGTCCATACATGGCCATCATGCTGCTAAGCTAAATTGTTGTACTGTACTGCATGTGGCTATTTATCAGTACTCCTTATTTAAAATTACAAATTGACATGCAGTAGAGTACAACAGTTTAGCACAGCAACAGACAGTTGATGATGGCCATGTGTGACCGAAACATGTCATGAATAAAGAATTATAGTGACTATAACCTTTTGTTGCATTAATGATGAAAATATATTGTATAAAATAATTGATATACTGGTGAAAGAGAATGCTTAAATAGAAAAGCGACAGATTTCATTTTCCTGATATACTGTCTACATTAGAATATGATGCAAATTACTGTCTGAGTAAAAGGTGGAGGTCCGCCATCTTGATAAGCAAAAAACTACTACGAGGCAGTAACATACAACATAGCATGACACCATTATCACTGAATTACAAAAAATACCGCTTATATGTATGTATATGGCGAGCAATACTGAGGAAGGCCAGGGCTCACAAAGGGCTGTCGTGCCAGTGATGATGATGATGATGATGATGATGATGATTATATGTATGTATTTTAACTCCCCAATTTCCACATATTCATTGTCACAGAAGTGTCCATTCCAACTGTAGCAGTTGTCACATGTGATGGACGTAAGATAACGCGTCACAATATGTTGGAGAATGCTATGCTTCAAGAGTCTAAAGTGCAATTCTACTTGTAGCATATTGTACTCAGACACGTCACTCTACCTGAAGGATGTCACCATGGCTGAAGTGTAAACCAATCTCTTTGCATGGTAACAACGAGTCATCTGCTGGGTTGTAATTGAACATGGCTCTCATGTAGCACTAAAATTCAAGAAACAATACTTCAATACAAAGTGTGTTAAATACATTCCAACATTATACTTCAACTCATACATTAGTGACTACTGCATCATTTATGATTAACAGTTGCCAGTTTGGGGGGGGCGCAGTGTAATGAAGTAATCTAAATGTCAGGGAAAATTCTAAAAACATTATAATTAAAAACATGTCTTACATGTGGAGAACTAATAAATAGCAACAAATCAATGACAATTTGAGTGGGGAGATAAAGAGAGAGGTAAAGCTGTCCTTATGTTCTATTAAACACCACAACATGAAGACATATGTGAGCGTTGCACTAACCTCTGTACAAGATGGAGGACAATGGTCAACTACATACTCCAGCTGACTTAACCTGAGACAGTTACAGACCCCAATGAACACTGGATAGGAGGTTAGATGGGCCCCAAACCTAATCTGGGCATAGCATCATAAAGGAAAATCACTGCAGGGATGTGGCACATACCAGAGACTGTTTCCTGCAGGCAAAGCAGTTGGGATATGATACTGACTACTCATCTGCATTTAGTGAAAAGCACTAAGAATGTGTCAAGCTATACCACCACTCCCCCACATATCTTCATGGTATGGTCCTTAACTAAGCACAAGGACAACTTCCACTAAGTTAGAAGAGGCACGCCCCTTTTAAGTTCAGTGGGTTATACTACCGAAAGGGTTACAGAAGAGAGTTCAAACTGAACAATTTATAATCCCAACATTTTACTGCACCTGGCCACCATTCAGCTGAGTATGCTCATCTTCAAAACTTGGACGTATCTTCAATGCAACAGACTCCTTGGCCTTTGAGATCTGGATTTGGAGGTCTTCAGGTGTAGAAACAGGAACACCATTTACTTCCAGGATTGTGTCACCAACATGCAACAAACCCTGGTGATCAATCATCCCACCACCCAGGATCCGAGCTATCACCAGGTTACCTGACTCATCGACTTGCACGGTCAGCCCCTGAAAGCAAAGGACTTCAAAGCTTAAAAGACAAAACTTGGAAAGAATAATCAACAGAAATAAGCATATAAAAGTGTACTCCACTACATTCCAAACACAATATTGGTATTTTACACACCACATTAGTCTTGATGTTTGCTTACTGCAGATGCAGATCTACTATTAAAGACCTTCTTGAGAAGCTGACAGGTATTCAGCAGATCAAGAAAGTCACCACTTTTCATCAAGCCCAGAAATTCATTACCATGTTCAGGAGAGCTCACAACAGGACACAAACCCAAGTCACCTGAATCCAATTCATATCTTCGAACCCTATTTCTTCAAAAGCCACTTCAATATTGTCCTCCCATCTATGCTTTGTTCCTCAAGCGATTTATTTTATCTTCTGATTTTCTGACCAAATTTCTGCGTGCTTTTCTATCCCTCCCTTGTGAGCTACACATCTCTATCATCTCATTCCCTTTGATTTTATCACAGTAATAATATCTGTTGAAGACTACCATTTATGAAGAAGCTTATTTGCAAGTCTTTCTTGACACTTCATAACAAACTAGTTTTCTATAGCAAGGGGCTGATCCGCTTGTAAAAATCTGCAAAGTGCTCAAGTAGAAGGGAATCTAGATAGCCAACTCCCAATGTGGTAAAGTGTGCATCATGGGAGGTTGTTGGTAAATAACGATTTTACAATAAAAAGATTGCAGCATGGCGAAAGTTAAACAAATGTGTCAGTCATCTTCAATATTGCTACTGCACACATTTCTCTTGTGGCTTTCACAACTCAATACAATGTCACTTTCCTGGATCTTCAGTCAACTGTGTACCTCTGTGGTCAGGGTTACTCAGTTTAAAATTGTAAACATCTTGAGCTTTACTGTATTCAGAACTTCCGTTTTGATTACTAATATACACCACAGAAATATAGTTCATATTTAATACTTAATTTTTTAAATCTTTTTAATAATAATACAATGAATTACCATATGTTTACATAACACATTTTCTATAAAACAGCAAGTATTTTGTAAAATTGAGAACTGTTTCTTCAGTATCCACTGGTTCGAAGTTTAACCATAATTGAGTTAAATTAGATCATTTGCAGAAATAGTCTTAAAAAGGATCCATATTGCAACAGTGTGTTGCTTCTAAGAACTCACAAAAATATACATTTTAACCTTCTGAGGACCAGGGGACAACCACTCTCTGAAACACATGATTAGAATGACAGCAGTACAACAACACTCTCTGTGTGGTTTCTTGAAAAACCACTAGAACTTTACATTCTTTTGTCAGATCACAGCTAGCAACAGAACGACCATGAAAAGCAGGGCCCAGATTTTGATGACATGTAATCTTTTTTTCCTTGTACCCTATGCAATGCTCTTAAATATATAAATCTTGGATATGAGCTGCTGGTTACAGAAATGTAAATTTTATGGGTAATTTTTTATCATTTTTAGGTTTAAGGTCATTTTTTCATTTTGGGGGTAAATTTTTGGACTTTTAAGGGTATTTCTTGTCATTTTTGGCCATTTTAGGGAATCTTTCTTCATATGTTTTCTGAAATGTGAATAACATGGAAGCAAAGTGTTCTTTCTTTTCTCCTTTAGGTCATTTTTCTGGATTTTTTCAGTCATTTTATAGGTCATTATTTGAATATTTTCAGGTCATCAAAATCTGGGCCCTGCATATTACATTTTTGGGTCATATTTTAGGCCATTTTTCTGGACTTATTTGGTCATTTTTTAAACGTTTTCATGTCATCAAAATCCGGGCCCTGATGATAAGTAAAGCGCGTATACTTGGGATCCACTCACAGACTTTCTCTCTTTAGTTGAAGCTAGGTATTTACAAACTTGACCATACTTTTGCCCTGGTCATGAGAATGAAAATGGTATCAATCTCAAGAAATGTTTGTGAAAGATTATCATGTGACTACCCGAGTGCATGCCTTCGCTGGCTATGCTGATTATACAGATTGTGATAATGAAATACAAACCCCCTCAACAGACAGTAAACCTGGATTTTGAGAGAACCTCCTGTCGCAATTGTGAATATAAGTTCAGACAATAACAACACTATTCACAGTGACAGAAGAGATGATATTAATGATGTAAATACTGACCAAATCCAGTGTACAACATACACAGAAATTCAAACAGATGCATGATCCAACATTCTTGCACTTTCCTGTCTTCCATGATACCTTGTTAACAACACCATTCTGTTTCCACCAGGTATCCAGAAAATGAACCCCAGGCAACATTTAAGGCATAGGTTCAGCAAGCAAAGTGTAGGTTTGATTTCACTACACACACCAGAATATTTGGCACTACAAGTAACTCTGCTCTTACACACCACAAGTAGGGAATCAAGTTTTGGGTGTTGTGCAACTCTTGTGAAAAATAACGTTTGGCTCTTTCTGCAACTGAGATTGAAAAGAAACAAAAACATACAGTCTTGGTCATGTGGTAGTGACAAAGTTGATCAGCTTGGAAAAGTGCCCGAGGAATGATCACCATGCTTTCAGACAACTTTTCATCATACTGCTCTAGTGGACTAGTCTGCTTGTGTAACCTGCCTGACTGGAACAGTACAGTACAACAGCAAGGGCATTGCAAACAGTCTAAAACAGAAATCTGATGTTGGCCAAGTAAAATATCCTTCAGCAATGAGGTCCTTGTATCTGGTTATCATGATAATAAATCCAGAATAACACAAGCGTAGCTTGTCCCATCTCATGTTGCTGCAAAGAACATAAAAATAACAAACAGATGAAACAGGCTGGAAGGAAAGTAACAAAACCAACAAACATCCATAATCACAACAGTTTCTTGGCAGGAATAATGTGTCCAGTACATTGCTCTACACCTATGCTGATGAACGATGAACAGTGAATTACCAAGTGTCCAAAAAAGAACTCCGGAGTTCGGTTATACATTATTCACTGCTTAATCACAGAGTTTGTGTGTTTCGAAAATTTAGAGCAAAATCTGTCCAAGTTTTAGTGACATGAATTCTAGAGAGATGGCAACACTGCACTGTGATGAGCCGGTGCTGCATGAGAACAGGAGTGATTCAGTCATGTCTCTGATGAGGCTACTTTTCACACATACGGTATTGTAAACCCCCACCTTTGCAGGATTTGGAGCAGTGAGCATCTCTGTAAGAGCCCCAAGATCAATGGGTGGTGCAACATCAAGCTGGACCAAATTGCTGGGCCCTCTTTCTTCCATTAGAGCACCATCACCATTACAGTTTACCTGGATATGCTAAAGATCTTTGTGTTCCCACAGATATTAGCTGAAGTTGAAAGCCTCATTTTCCAACAGGATGGAGCACCAAACTATTTTGGTGACAAACAATTTCCTGGTCGGTGGATCAACAGGGAAGGGATGATTAATTGCCCCCCCCCAAAGTCCTGACTTAACACCCATGGCCCATGGATTTCTTCTTCTGGAAGTACATCAAAGACATCATGCAAAGTGAAAGGGTAGAGTCTCTTCCAAATTTGCGCTGAAGGATTACAGTGGCTGTCATTACAGTGAACCTGTGGATCTGTTCTCTTAGGTGTGGGGTGAAGTGGAATTTAATTTCAGCGTCTGCAGGGCCAACAATAATGATCACAACAAATTGCACTAAATGGCAGTAAAACTTGGGAGAGACTGTCCCACAGTTTTGTTAATAAGAAATTTTTATGACATAGCAGTAAACAAATATCTATAATAACTCTGGAGTTCTTCCTCAGACATCCTGNTACGTAGGTCGTACCGAAAGACATGAGCAACTTTCTTTTGCATGCAACCAGGGAACAGCAGACGAAAGAGAGTATGGTGGTAGGTGGAACCAGCTGTTTTGTTACCCTTGAGTGTCTTGTGACATCAACAGCTTGCATCACATGACCAGTATCACTCCGATCACTCCTAACAAAATGGCCGACAACGATGTCGTTTCACCAGCGTGCTGTCATCGAATTACTTGTGAAAGAGGAAATCCCTGCTGCAGAAATTCACCAGACTTCAGCGTGCTTATGGAAGTGTGTGCATGGGTGCAAGCAGTGTTCAAAGATGGGTGAAACATTTTAAAGATGGGAACACCAGCATCAAAGATGAGCCTCGGAGCGGTCGTCCTCGAACAGCCTCAACTGAACGCAACAAGGAAAGAGTGGATGAGATCATTCATGATGACAGGAGTGTGACTGTGGACACAATAGCCCAAAAACTTGGAATAGGGCACAGTGCAGTACATGAGGTGATTGAAAGCTTGGGCTACAGGAAAGTTTGTGCTCGTTGGGTCCCGTGATTATTGACCGAAGACCACAAAGGTCAGTGAAAAGCCATCACCTCAGAACTGCTACAGAGATATCAACATGAAGGCGATGATATTTTGCTCTACATTGTGACAGGTGATGAAAGCTGGTTTCACCATTTTGAGCCTGAAATGAAACGGCAGAGTATGGAATGGCACCATTTGCATTCTCCATCAAAAAAGAAGGCAAAGACAGTGCCATCAGCTGTGAAGGTGATGGGCACAGTCTTCTGGGATGCAGAGGGGTTTATTCTGGCTGAATTCCTGGAACCTGGGCAAACCATCAATGCTGCTCATTATGTCCAGACGCTGCACAAGCTCCACTGTGCATTGCGTGATAAACGTCAGGGACAAAACATCATCATCCTGCATGACAACACTCGCCTCACATTGGAAGCAACTGCAAAAATGGGGTGATGCCGTGATCTGGCACCCTCCGACTACCATCTTTTCGGATTTGTGAAGGATCAGCTGCGCAGATGTTTTGAGACAAGGGAGGCAATTCAGAAAGCAGCATGTCAGTGTCTTCGGATGGCTGGAACGGAATTTTACAGAAGTGGAATTTTCAAACTCCCAGAACACTGGGAGAAAAGTGTATAAAGAAGTGGCGATTATGTGGAAAAATAAAGAAAGGTCTGTAGATTGAGGTGGTGTATTTAGTTCATTAATAATATAGCATGTTACATTCCAAAAATGTTGCTCATGACTTTCAGTACGACCCTCATAGTATGTGTAGCAGGATGGTGTTAAATTCATACATTATTTACAAGGAGCACATCACTGGCAAGAAAATGACACACCTTCAATTCACTTCTAGTATAAGAGAAGCAGTGGAAGGGGAATGGCTTCCAGTATAGAACCCAGCACCAGCACTGGTAGCAGTGTACCTGCTGCACCTGGTAAGAATGCCACGCTATTCATACTGCCAGGTCACAACCTAAAATGGCATGCAGTGTGTAGCAACAGAAAGTGAGGACCAGGAACAAAGATCACACTGTATGTGACAAGTGTGAAAAGGGCTCCACAGATTGTGTGCAAGACACACAAATGTTACTACATGATGTGCACATAATTTGTAAACATGTACAAAATCTTTATCAATCAGAATGTATTATAAAATATCTTTCCCTCAAAATCTATCAAATACTGAAGAGTGATTTCTTTGTGTAGGCAAAAATGCTCACAGGTTTCACAAGATACTACCAACATGCCAGTAAGGTGACAATAATGTTACCATTCTAATTTAACATAAATTTCATTTATCAGAAGAGTTCACTGATAATTTAAATAATTCTTATGAGGGTACTAATAAATGTAATATTTATTTAATATGTCTTTCAATATTTGACTTTGAGGTCAATTAAAGTTTCAACCTGCAATATGGAGATCCTGGAAGATATGACCTCTTTCCTACATTGCTGTAAATTTGGCAATCATAAGACATAGCTACACCAGAATGGCCTGGTCCTCAAAGAGTTGTCAGCTTATACCCAAGCATGGGATCCAAGAGAGATCAGAACACACAGAGAGAACACATACTGCATTATGTTCTATCTCAGTCCCATTGTGTACACACATCGTTCAACAAATCACAAAGATCACAAATAATAAATAATACTGAATTTTACCAGTGGCTCATTAGGACTTTTGCGAAGCCCAACCAATCTAATGGCATCAGCTGTCATCCCGTTAACAGGTAGTTCAAATGCTGGAAGCTGAGGCTCTTGTTGAGGACTAGGTTCGTAGCTTTTCTCTGCCACTACGTCATGTGACTCCAAAAGTGCCTGCATTAATAAGAAATGATATGTGCAAAACGAAGGGTAACAACACACATCACACAATTTGTAAGATGTAATAACTGTATTCCCTGCAGACCTAAAATTACTTTATCAAAAAGAAATATAGCATATTTACAACACAGAAAATACAGAGGTATACCAGAAGTCCCATGTCACAGAGACACTGGGTATTTGACAAAATATGGAAAATTGTTGCAAACCATATGTTTCCAATCTGAAATGTTGGAATATTTCCCTAAAGATTTGCCATTGCATCACTACACTCTTTGAAGTCATATATTATTAACCATCATCACAAAAAGTTTCCCTAAAAATCCCTTTGTTTTTTATTTATTATATGCTACATGCTTTGCCCACAAAGAGACAAAATACAAAAGCAGCTCATCCTACACAAACTGCACAAAATATAAAATTTAGCTCTAATCAAGATCTACAACTTTCATCTTTAAAGTGGTGAATATTTAAAACAGAAGAAACATAATTACTGACCATGAAGTGTGACTAGCTTTGCATCAGTTGATTGTGCATGCTGGTTATTATGAAAAACTGAACTCAATTCCATCATTATTTTCATTCATACTCTATCCATGTTTTACATATACTATCTGCTAACTATGTCAGTTGACCTCAGGTGTAACAATGGCACGGTAAGTGTTTCCAGCTGTGTGAAAATTATATTTGTATCAGCAACAAATGAACACTGCAGCCAATGACATATGCATAATTGCAAAGAATGTTTTTAGGAAAAAACATACCGTAAACCTTCCAACACACAAACTCTTCAAGATACCTAACCAAGACTCAAAATAAGTCCAAAAGTGTCACTTGCTGACTGTCCCAAGAAACTGGGGTCTCCAAAACGTGTATTCTTAGAGCCAAAAGAAAGCTCCAAAGTTTCATCTTTACAACTGTAAGTGATGCACAGCCTTCATCCTGCAGATCCTCTTTTGAGTTGCATTTTTTGCATCCTCCTTTTTAGAAATATTCATGACACAACAGTGCACCCTCAGTTTCATTTCATTTCAGTGGTTATGTAAATTCACAGAATATATGCCACTGTGATATTGAAAATTCATACTATCTGCCAAACTCCATTACATGAACAAAAGGCTGGTGTATGGTGCACTATGAACCCTAGACAAACCATAGGTTCCATAAGGTTCTATACTTTTAATGGTACAGTTAATTCAGAGCAGTATGTGAATGCAATTATGTAACTATTCTTTGAAAATTAACTGAAGAAGAAAAGTGTTATGCATATTTTCACTGGGACAATACACCACTATGCACCACAAACAATTCAGTCTAGAGGGTATAAACAACAAATCACTAGGACCACTGCATCAGTGTGATGATCAGGGAAACTTGAATCAGAAAGTTTATAAAAACATCCAACACGTTTTCAGAAGCTTCATATACTTAAATCTGGAAGGAAATTTTAGAAATCACTGATCATCTTCATAATGTGTCACAGAATTAGTTATATCAGTGTGGAATGTGTGCCAATGTTGAAGTACATCACTTTCAGTATCCACCACTGTGTGAAGTGGTTTTACTGATAACACTTTTTAAGCGCAGATGGAAACCTTCAATTAAACTGTGTGGTAGGAGTCAATTTTCCCATCAGAGGGAAGCCAAACATTGTATGGTATCTTACTCTATAACCAGACAGCAAGGCTGTAAATAAATGACTGAACTCCTGCATAAAAGTAGAACGAACACTATGATAACCACTGACATCAATTACTTTCTGACTTGTAACATGTCTAACCTGACTCATAAAACAGAAAATTCCAACAGTACTCTCTAGATCATGCAGCCTGAAAGTGGTTACAATTATTTGGTTACATGAAAGTGAAATGTAATATTTACTGGAATGATAAGACCTAATGTTAGGGCTATTAAGTTTGAATACTTGGAAATGTGCCTTTATTAAATCACACAGTAAACAACAAAAAAAACTCATGATGTAACTTTCTTTGTCACCAAGAATTTAGAAAAAAACAGACTTAATACAGAATGGTAGAACAGAAATCATAAATATACAAAACCAGACAAAAACCTTACAGATTGGTCACCAAGTGTGAAACAAAAAGAAAACCTATATACATTTGGAAAACACATATTAAATAATGAAAGAGCATGAGCTAAAAGAAGAAACAACAAAAGAACTGAAACCATGGGAAGAGGAATCCATAATCAAAAGCTATCTATAACACAGATGCTCCTTTCAACAGAAAAATAATTATAAATCAACCAAATTGGTCATAAACTATTCTGAGCCAGTGCATTACATTGACATGGATCAGGTGACATACATGGTCAGCCATAATTTTCCATAATTCTTTGCTGAGGAAACCTCCTGACCTCAATAAATATAAAATCAGTAAACGACTGGAAGCCGCAGAAATGACAAATTTTAGTCTGATACACACAATAAGAAACAATATGCAGAGAACTTCATATCAATTATGTTGTTGTGAAGAGTACTAATATGAAAATAGATATATCAAATAAGTACACATAGGTGGCTGAAGACAGTGTGGGTAATAAAAGAAATATAAAAGAGATGGTGGAATGAGGCTTTTGAAGCTGACATTCTGACATCTAATCCAGGAAGAATGGCAACAGAAAAAGAAAGTTACTTTTCAGTAAGGTAATCATACTGACATCTGCCATTATGGAAATGTACAAGATGCTGTACTTACTGAACACAGATTGGGGGCTACTCGGTTAGCCATCTCTTTGTGTTCCCTAGTCAGTGTCATATCTGTTTGAGTGAGTTCAAAGACAGGTCAGTGATTATACATCAAGACACACAATTTTTAATGACCATAGGCCAATATGGATAACTCCCTTTTTTAACTCACCCATTACTCATTGATGCTATAATAACCTTGATACAGAAATCCTTTACAGAGACAGAATTCTAGAATATGCAAAATTACCTTGAAATGAGGATTTTTCAGTATATTAGCTAACTCCTGTGCATCCTTGCTTCTTGTTACTTCACACTTCTTGATAACATCACGTGAGAGGTCAATGTTCCCTGTTCCCACTGGCTGTGCTGAGCTTAGCCTATCTTCCAGACGATCTTGAACCTGGACATACAAAAGCAGACTTCCTTTCAAAAATCATCAGACCATCCAGACTCAGTACATGAGTAATGCATACTTGTACAGACCAGTCAGGAGCGATATCATGACAATCACCTGGCATTATTTGAATTGCTGTTCACTTTTAAATCATTGCATAGTATGTACCAAAAAAGATACCAAAAATGAATTATAAAAAAATTACTTATGTAATTATGTCCTTAATGTCCTTAAAATAAAGAAGTCAGTTATGTGTCTTGAAACTAAGAAATAATATATTTACAGAAACCAAAATTCAAGGTGTTATGTGAGTATCTGTTATTATGTACTGCAACTTAAGTACACATGAAAGTGTTTATAGAAATAAGTGACAAGACACAAAATCAGAAATCAGTACTCTAGAAAACATCTGCAAATGAAGTCTGCTAGCTGTACAGTGAATCGCCAGGTTGCTGCCTCACAACAGATGTCTCCTCTGGTTCTGCTATTCTGTCTTTCATTCGTCATGTCACAGCAAAAGAGTACATGTAACACAGCACACAAAAAACTATTTGCCTGGAACAAATTATCACTCATCATGCCCAAACATATTTGCTAAAATCAGAACCAGAGTGATGTGATTCAGATAAATGTTCAAATTCCATATACAACAACAGTCTTTGTCACCATATAACCTATGAAGCTGAACAAAAATTCAACCAAGAATACGGTAACATATCTCAACAGTTGTCAAAGTGTAACTTCTTTCTGTGATCATAGATGGTTGATATGCTACTCTGACACTTATTTTTAACATAACACAGCACACCAACAGTATAAGAACATCATTAGATGCTGCACCTTCCAGACTGATCCTGCAAATGAAGGCACTAACCAGTGTAACAAGATACTGAAATATAATAGCATTAAATAACAATGCCTTACAGTCACTTTCAAGAACAGAAGTTCATCAAGTGTAACTAGTTTAACAGAAGTAGGTCATCCTAAAAACTACCACATACTTTACTGGATTATACCTAATGATATCACACAGTCTCATGGCCCACAGTCAATAATATATTCTACATAACCAACCAAGGTCATTAGTACATTCTTCTATTTACTGAGCATGACTTCTTATGTTAACTGATTTTAAGCAATTATTCTCAATATATTCAACTTATTTCAACTTGTTTTAACTATTTAGTCTTAATTTCTGCAACTACTGTTAAGTCCCTTTTATGATAATAGAGCAACAACCTATGACAAAGAACGGCATATGTAAACTAGTTCTTGGCTAGTCTTCTGACAATGGCCTATAATGGGTGGAACATCTAAAGGCAAAACTGTTACTGATTCCTTTTAAACTAGTGTAATATTATTACATTATTTTCTAAGGATGTCTACTACAATAAAAATAAACACAGCATAAAAGCATAGAGCTTTCAGGCATTCTGCACATATGAGGTTGACCCTTTTTCAATATCTGCCAGGAAGCATAACAGTACAGTGTAGCATATAGTACTGTTGCTATGCAATGATCATGAGAAGGAACATCCATTTCTTGGTAGGTGTTAGTAAACATGTAAATGATCTCTGGGCTATCACTAGGCAACCACCTATTGGAGGTGATTTTTTCTGGTGGGTCTGCCCCAAGGATATATAGCGAGGACCCCCAGGCTGGCAGTTCAACTTGAATACTGCATAGGAGGCTGACAAGAGGAGATGACACTACAGTTCAGCCGAGATGAGTTCTGTATGGGCAAATGCGAAGATACAACCTGAGAGTGGGAAGCTGAAGAATCCCCAATGTTGGAAGCCTTTGCTACAAAATGGCTGTTGAGGACACTGCAAGCTGGAGAAGACCTAGTGTGTAATGATTTGTAAAGCCTGGAGATCAGTGATAGCACTGTAATTACTTGCAGTTTTGGGTTGTGTTGATAAATTCAATGTCCAATCTATACTCCATCTATAGCCACACTCCCAAAATACGTGACAATATTCTGATGACATTGATATGTTGATCTAATGCACAAAGCATTCGGCCTTTCCACCATGACTGCTCCTGCCTGGCAGTTGTTCAGTCAGCATGGATGGGAAACAAGAAAAGTACACAACATTTTGGCAGTAACACCCTTTTGAGAGCAGATACTTGAAAACTGTAACATGGGATATGAGGACAATATTAAACTGGATCCTTAGCATAAAAAGTAACTGTTAAAAGTCAGAGTAACCAAAATCTTGTTTACAAAAGCTGACCAAAAAAATATAATAAAGAACTTCCTCATCAAAGACAGAGGAACCTATCTCAATTAAAATGCTATGACTGCTGAAGAAATAAAGCCAGTAGTTTATTAGGCATAATTTTGTTTTCCATGATTTTCCTCAGTCCCTCCTATCCAATAACGAGACAGTAACCCGATTAGACTAGGATCACTTCTTTCCAAATTCCTTTCAATTCATTCATCAACATCCTAACCATTCACAGTCACCATGCCACAGTCTGTAAAATAAACTACAACAAAGGCGCTAGTAAGCAAGATGATTCAAGGGGTAACGCTTATTACTCATATTCCAGAGGTGCCAGTTTCGAATCTCGGCTGGGAAACCAACTATCCTAACAATATTTTTGTAGCTTTCTTTAATCCTCTCAGTAAGTGCTGAGAAAGCACCCTAAATTCGGGCATGACTACTTTCTTCCCCACATCCTTTGCAACTGATTATTCAATTTCATCTTGAGATTCGACAACATATTTATAGTCTGAGTGACAGTATCGTTGAATAAGCTACAAACATATACATAGAATAAACAGAGTTTTGATATCACCAAAAACAATTATAACAATCAATCAACATCGTCCTTAACACATCGAAACACAATCTTTTTTCGTGTACGGGTCGAGGTTCAATACTCTGCCAAAAAATAAGTTGTTGGTTAATATAACTTTATTCCCGCTTTATTTAGACACCTACATGCCAATCCGGTCAAAATCAAACACATCACCGCGGTTAAACATTCCACAGGTCGCAGTGCCACACCTGTCTGCTCCCACGACGCCACTCTTTACTGTACCTTTGTCTTACCTTAGCTAGCGAATAGCTTCAAGTAAAACAAGACAAACCCGTGAAATATCATGTTTGCCAGCTTGCACAAATATTTGTTTGTTTTTGACATTACCTGTTCGACATACAACATAGTCACACCTTTATTTAAACTCTGAGAATGATCACTACTACTGGATACTACGCCACGTATTCTACAGTCAATTCCATTTTCCTCTTCAACTACTGTTAAGTGCAACAGCCTCACTATCGCTCACTATTACCAGCAACTAGTAAGAACCCCACCTATAGTGAGTAACACCAGCGTTCGTGTTTCATCGCTACAGCGGCCTGTCGGTTGTAAAACCACGCAAGAGCCACATGGCACGTGAACCCACTTCCCGAAGTAGAGCAACTCTTCACCCTCAACTTATTCAGTAGTCTCCTGATAACAGAGATACGTACCACAAAATAACAAGGTGCCAGCTGCGTTCTACAGACACTTCAGCTTATAGTCTTCCACTAACTCCTCTCTGCCAGAACTGCAACTACACCCACTTTCAATCGGCATACGCCATCCAAGCAACCAAGGCCACAGACCCAAGCGAGGGAAACAGTATCTAGAAGCGCTGTGATTTGTTTCGGTAAAATGACCGTGAGCGACGGTGAGTGCAAACCCCTCACCCTTCTCCCCGCCCAAAAGCAAACACTTTCATTGAATACAGGCTTCCCCTTGGTTACAATCAATTCCCAGCAGTGCTAATTGTCCCTGTTCCTACAAAAATCTTGGCAATGATTGCTACCGATTACTACTACAATGAACTCTACACGTACGCGTTCTTTGCAGTTTTGCACTCGTTCATTCTGATCCAGCTGTTCACAAAATCTACTACTGCCAAACATCAACAATACCAGGTTTTACACTACACAGAGGCACACTGGAAAAATTACTGAAATATAGCAGCTGTGACCGCACACATTATCAAAACTATGTGCAGTTCTTTTTTAGACGTATCACGGGGTCTTACTAGAGATTTATGAAAAGTGGGGTTATATTAGACCGGCACTGATATACGATTTTTCGATACCTTGATAGCTCGGCACTTCATTAGTCAAGATATTCTCCTCACGTTTTCTATGATTTCGTAATGACCAGGACAGCCCTTTTGTCCCACAACCCTCAAGCTGATAGTGACTCAGCCAACCAAGGAACCCCTCTTATGGATGTTCAAAACAGACTACCCCTGCATCCCATCCTGCACTCCTTGAAGTCCATGAGTGGGTTCATCCATTTAGACCTCACCTTCCCGTGACGGCTACATGGCTCGCCCACTTCATCCTACTTAATTTGTTCATCCTAGCAATCAGCGTTCCTTCTAAGCCGGGGAACAGAAACAAAAACTGTAGTTTACTTTTCAATTTTATATTTATTCGTTCAAATTGACTGTATATTAAACCAATAAAATTGTGATGGGAGACAGACTCGTGCGCGGAAGTACGACAGCAGTTGCGCAGCCGCGCACGCGCAGCTTAGAAGGAACATTGCTAGCAATTGTTTTATATATATATATCATATATGATGAAGAGTACAAATTTTGAAACTCATTGTGCAGTTTTCTCCTCCTGTTACTTCCTGTCTCTCAGATCCAGATATTCTCACATTTTGTTCTCTAACACCCTTATTTGCTTCCCTTAAATTTGGTATGGCACACAAACTGTTACACCCACACCCAGGTCTTAAATTACAGTTGCGTACATTTTAATCTTACATTTCAATATGGTAGACGATGTTCTAAAACGATTGTGAACTGAATGATAGCAAGAATCTCTCCTCCTCCCCACCAATTTAATTACTGTTGTTCCCAAATATTCCAGCTTTATTAGCTTGAGTAGTCATCTTTTTATTAGACCTACGATTCTGTACTGCATTCTGGTGACGACACATGAACACTACTGTACTTGAAGAAAACGGACTGCAATGCCAT